TTTCTGTATTTCTTCATTTCAAACAGTGGCAGCAGTTCGTAGAGCAGAGGTCTCTTTGTTGTTTTTCCCCCAACGCTCGTGCCAAATATTTACAACTCCTCTGTCTGTTTTGTTTTCTGCGCCAACACTTTTTTCTTCCCCATTCTGTAAAATCCCATCAGAGCGATCTTTAGGGAGGGGGGGTGGATTGATATCGGATGGCTTGCACCTCATGGTGCCAGTCGGATGCGGGGCGTGTGCGGYGAGGGTGCCAATAGGAGGTGGGCATGGGGTGCCAGGCAGAGGCTTCATACTGAGACACAAGCTTAATTAGCATCCAAGATGGATGGGGGGAGTGGGGGGAGGGGTGGATGGCAGTACAGGAGGCTAATTATGCCATTTGAAAAGAGACGGCAGAGTTAAATGCCTTGGAAAAATCTTAGCATCTTAGTCAGAGATGTGAAAAGCGTGTGGCTCGAGCATTGTGCCGAAGCACCCAGGCGCTCATTCGCAGCTTATTGTACATACGAGCGTCGCAAATGTACCGCGCAGCCAAAAAGACGCTCTAAGAAAATCCATTTCCTGAGCACCAGCAAATACTGGGTGATGAATGCGACAGCTGTGCTGCCCGAAACCCAGCAAGTTTTGACGCGCGGATCGTCTGGGCCTCCGTCGTGGCCGGGTTCCCCTCGTTTGACAAAATGGAAAAGTGACATTCTGCTCAATCACACTCGCACACATGCCAAACATTCTGTCAGAGCACCGGCAGCTGGTGAATTACAGCTCATCCTCCGACTTCAAAGGAGTCCATTGTTCTGGTGTGATGAAGTCTTCACAATATCATGAAGTTTTACCACGTGAAGCACATCAGAGGTGAAATAGTCCTTGTCCTATTTACCCTAAAGCTCAGAGAAGCCTCCATCTGCTGGAGACATTAACTTTCTCCACCACTCACAACACACARCCCTACATCTGATGTGACCAAGTTCAGGATGAGGACATGAACCTGCCTGTTGTGTGAGACGTAGCTAAGTGCATCTCTTCACTCTTAACCTTTGTGGAGCCGCGAAGCTCCRCGCTCACTGACCGCCTACTCACAACTCTCGCCTGCTACGTTTTCAATCCAACCTGGATAAATTTCACCTTGCTGTTTTACCAGTTGCCATGGTGAGACTGAGACTTTTTTTTGTTTTGTTTTATTTTTTTACGGGTTTGTTTACTTGCCTCACAGAAGCATTTCAAAGCATATTGTTTGGCGCTGAAGCTGGCTGACTAATTTAGGGGGAAATGGGCTTCTGCCTGAAAATATCCATATGACAGACTTCCATATTCTCTGTGTGTGTGTGTGTGTGTGTGTGTGTGTGTGTGTGTGTGTGGCAGCAGCACACGTAGTGCTGCAGCACAAATGGGATCCTTTTTAGACCTCAAGGCTGCACATGAAAACACTCTAAATATGCATTCACTGGTTATCAGTGGACTGCTGAAATATTATGGAGGTTAAACAAGCAGCCGAAGGCCGTGGTGTTTGAAT